ATAACAGTGTGTATAATATTAATAATAACCGTTTTTATTGATAGATAGCAAATAACAGGACAAAGCAAGAAAAAATAATAAACAGAAAGATTACATTTTATATCTATCAAGAGGCAGAGTTAGCTCCTAATTCGGAACATAAAGAGGTAAATTTTCACCAAATTTCATTGAACAAAAATTTTTGTAAAAGATAGAAATAGAAACAAAAAACTTGGCTATTCAAACTTTCACATAAATGTTGAGATTATTTGAAAACAATGTGGGAACAAAAGGTATTGATCTATAGCACTTGTAGTGTTGCCGGAAACCGAGATGATTCGTGTTTTACCCTCAAAAACACCCCCTTTTACTTCCCGACCTCAGATGGCCCGTAAATTATTTTTCATTCAATCTTCGTCATATCATCCTCCTTTTCTGATAGGTTTCATTCTACTATGATTTTTATGGACTTCAAAGCTTTAAAGGGTACCATCATCCACTATTTTCGGGAAAAAAGTGGTAATTTCATTCCTTAGGGATTCAGAGTTACTTTGAATACCTAGTGATTTGGAGTAAATTTCTTCGCAATATCAGCTGAATTTACAAATGTATTTTCAAGATTTCTGTTGCAAGTGTGACTTCTATCATCGAAAATACGCTCCACAATGGCGATGCTTCAAGCTATTTTGTCTTTTCCAAGAAATATGCTAGCAGTACCTTTTCCTCAGTACATTTTTTCGCCGTTCCGTTCTTTGCACCATTCGATAAACTCAGATAACTGTTTTATATTGTTCTCCAGATTTTCTTGGTAATAGTTGGCCTTCCGCTTCTTGAGGCGCCTTTTCGATTTGTTCCATCGCGATCAAAGTCTTTCAATCGGTGTGGCGGGATGACTAATATTTATTTATTCATGTTTCACTCAGTTACTCGTCATAACACACCAAGATTTTCAGTTGCCGATGACAATCATGATCTGGATCATCATAGTTACTGAGGTCGTTGATATAGTAACAATCAGCCCCTTCGATGATGTTTTAGAAATAGAGTAACTACCGTTTAGTAGCATTCGATTTTATCTTCGTTATTTTTGCTATAAAGTTCTACCTATCCTGAAGTGCATGAAATAGTATACAGAGTGGGCCTTTGAAAACGAAACAGAGGCTCTGTAGGTCGCCAAAACCGGATTATAAAAAAAAACTGAAACAGGTCAACTACATTTTCGAGGGGGACATCTTTCTAAAATATTTTCAGCCCTGCGGCGTTGCCGCTTCTAAAGAAAAGAAGCAACAACTTTGTTATTTCAAATGGAACACCTTGTATTTTATTGCATTTTTAGATTCTCTCCGAAGAGCTGATTTCATCAATGCATCACACTTAGGGTATAGCTGTAATGGTTTCAGGGATATGAAGTGTTCAAAATCGAGATTTTTCAACTTTAACATTTTTTTGTGTCGAAACTATTCATTATTGGTCAAAACGGCTCTCATGTCCCTCTCAACTTGTGATTTACTATCTACTGACATTTATTTGAAACAAATACAGGGTGGTTCAAGATTCAGAATTCTGATCACCCTGTATCTGTTCCAATTAAATGTCAGTAGATAGTAAATCACAAGTTGAGATAGGGACATGAGAGCCGTTTCGACCAATAATGAATAGTTTCGACACAAAAAAATGTCAAAGTTGAAAAATCTCGATTTCGAACACTTTATATCCCTGAAACCATTACAGCTAGACCCCAAGTGTGATGCATTGATGAAATCAGCTCTTCGGGGAGAATTTAAAAATGCAATGAAAGACAAGGTGTTCCATTTGAAATAACAAAGTTGTTGCTTCTTTTCGTTAGCAGCGGCAACGCCGCAGGGCTGAAAATATTGTAGGACGATGTCCCCCTCGAAAACATAGTTGACGTGTTTCAGATTCTTTTCATAATCCGATTTTGGCGACCTACAGAGCCTCTGTTTCGTTTTCGAAGGCCCACTCTGTATATGTATACACCGGCGGACTAAAGTGTTTTCAAATCCCTCGACAAATTATAGCTCCCCCGTTGGTCGGGCTATAAACCTTTTGTCTTCTTCATTCCCTAGGTGTATGATGTACTATTATCACATTGAAAAATTATTGACCTTCGTCTTTCATATGACAAAGGTGAAAGTTGTTTTTTCTTGTTGATGTTGTACCGTGATCAAGTTTGTTTTTGAACCGTATGCGAGCATGACGTAGTAGTGTTTCTCGCTCAATCAATCTGACTATTTTGGAATGACAGCTGTCAGAATTTATGATTGCTTAAACATAACTTGAAATCTATGATTTAACAAATAAACGATTATCTGTGAGAAGTGTGAAGAAAGTAACAATAATTGTAATAGCAAGTGAAATTGTGAATTGATCTTGACAAGAAATATTGATCATAAACAAAACTAAAAAGCATTCGTGAACTCAAACTTCGACGTGAGGATATTCTTTACTACCAAGGTGTATTTTTTTTTCACCACTAGCAATATCTTTCACACATTATACTATTATAGTTCTGTGAAACTGGAATATGGAAATATAGTCACTATGAAAGCACTTCTTTTCAATTCTTACTGAAATCTAAAAGCCATGACCATGACAGCATATTATGACAAGTCGTTATTGTTAAATACCTATACTAGGTACGGGTGCCATTCCTGCGAGTTTCGCATCAGAACAGTGAATTCGGGTTAATTATAAAAGAACTACAGTTCTCAACACACTAAATGGACCACTTATAATTTATTGACTCTATTTCGAAGACATGTATTTTTTGAAAAAATTAACCAATCTTCATGCGGTTTTCGATATCAGATGTGATGTTTCATCGGTTTCAAAGTGAGCTAGAACACTCTGAAAAAGTCCGCAGAACGAAACTTACACACGGTGTAAAGTGAAACCATTTCACTATGTCTACATTTCCAATGCTGCCAGAACTCGAGAAAATTTTTTCTGATCATAAGTCAGTCATATTATGATACACTGAGACCTACGAAGGCGCTGAAGGGCCACCTATACTTTTTTTTTTCGAATCCTGACTTTGAAGTCGGGGGTCCGTCTTTAAAGTCGGGGGTTCGAGATCAAAGTCGGGGGGTCCGAGATTAGAGTCGGGGGTTCGAGATTATAGTCGGGGGTCCGAGATTAAAGTCGGGATCACGAGATCAAAGTCGGGGGTCCGACTTTGAAGTCGGGGGTCCGAGATTGAAGTCGGGGGTCCGAGATTAAAGTCGGGGGTCCGAGTTCAAAATCGAGGGTCCGAGATTAAAGTCGGGGATCCGACTTTAAAGTCGGGGGTCCGAGATTAAAGTCGGAATTCCGAAACTGAAGTTAGGAGCTGAATTATATTCGTTGAATATGTGGACAGAAATAAATAATTTCCATTGTTACTCATCAGTTTGACGTCAGCAACATGCTCCTGAATTTTCTACATGTACTTGAAAACACCCTGTATATTTATGTTCCAACAATAATTTCACATCCATTGGATAATCATCACATCAGGATCAGTCAAAATCCTCCTTTCTGGATGTACACTGAATGTCAAATAATGGATCACACCTGTACGATCATTATCGTACGTACAGGGTGATTGTTTATATTTTACTCAATAGCTGAGAATCTCATTGTTGAATAAATACAAGAAAATCAGGAGTTCATGAAATGACGAAAACTACCTTGGTAGAAAAATCTCACGTCACGCCTTGAAAAGGAATAAATAATGGTAGGTTCTATAGCTAGAAGTGCAAAATAGTTATCTAGGGCGTAAAGTAGGCTTTTACGGACCGCATCGTGTGAGTAAGAGCGATATTCAAGGCGATTAACAGACCTATAGGAAACAAGTCACGCCCGAAATAGATACATTTTATGCACAACCGTTACAGACATTCAATTAATATCAATGTGGGATTCATAGATGATTTTATATTCATTGTATAAGATCATGAATGCCACTGGCATGGTAGTCTACTGGACATTACTGAAGAAACAGTGAAATAACTTCACCTCCCAGCTCCCGCTGTACTCATTTATCGTCCTGGGGTGCTAGAGTCGGCTAAAGCGTTACTGCACGCCCGCAAATCCGGGCAATGATTGGTCATGCATAATAGTTATTCATACACCAAGCTAGTAAAGATTATCATCATGACCAAGGGTCCCTCGGGACCTTATACCCCTCAGCCAAGTGGTATAAGGTCCTACGTGATAATAATTTTCTTTACTACAAAGGTGTATATCAAATTTTTTTCACCACTGGCAATATATTTCAATCATTTCCGTTCTGATGTGAAAACGAAATATGGACCATTTATCACTATGAAAGCACTATATTTACCTATGGCTACCATAGAAAGTAGGCATGAACACACGAGATACAGCCTCAGCTAGTAGCTCTTTTCGCACAGTAAGCACGTCGCACAGTTTTCATTTATTCCGCTAGTATAGGTATGTCATCATCGCATATAATCGCCGTAAACAGCGGATGACATAACTTGCAAGAATTATTATTCAGACTGTTTGTCCGAATTTTTTTTGAAGTTCTATATGGAAGTAGGTAAAGTATAGTGCGTAATGCGTGTTGTAAAGCAATCACGCACTCATGGAATTCGTGCGTAATATGCTTCTAACAACACATATACTGATTCAATAATTAGCAATGACCATGACAGCATGCACATATGACAAGTCGTTATATTGATATATACCTACTAGATTCGAGTTTCATCAATAGGAATCTTGCATCAGAACAGTGAATTCGGGTTAATTATAACTATGTCTTTATTGGCTAGTGGTTATTAAAACTATGGAATCTACCTTGGTAGTAAAAACACACTTTTTGTCTAGAAAAAAAGTCAATGATGGTAGGTTTTCTAGCTTATGGTGAAACAAATTAATTATGTACACTGTGATTAGTCATAGATAACGAAAATTGATTCATCAGGTTGGAAAAAATAATGCCGCTGTGCTCTGAAGATAATAGTGGGAAAGAATCTTCCTAGATCATACCAAGAATGGCTGAGAAATTGTACGAATATCAGGGCTGCATTGGAAGGCTCCACCAAGTGAGAGATGATGTCAGGGAAAAATATCATAGTTGGAAGGAGAGTCATCCAGGAGGATTCTCGGGGTGGTTGAAAGAACATATTTTCGAGAGGAAACAAAGTGATAGAAACCAGGATTTCTCACATATCTACAGGTGAGTTTGACTTTGTCGAAGAGTTTCTTGTAGGAGGAATTTCACAATTGGTTTCAAGGTCCCTCATATTTTATACCAAGGTGAGTTCAGTTCATTGTACCAGTATATCACCTGACGAAGCTACTGTGCTAGCGAAACATGTTGTGTGATTTGGAATTTTGTGTTAACCTTATCGTTTGTGAACGTTCCACACAATCAGATATCATCTGCTCATAAGAGATTCTGCGTTAGACAAAAGAGCCTGTATAAAAGTTTCTTGGTACATGCGAAAACACGAAGAAAAGGGACAAGATTTTATTGGATCAATCGCTTCGATCAAGAAACGAGTCAAAAATATACAAAAAATGGACAAGTACCTGCCTATACCTATGAGGGCGTTTATCGAATGAATGCGACTGGTCAAATCGTCCCTGCTGAACGAATGGGTTATTCATCAGGATATACAAACATGACCATTTGCGTTGAAAGTGATGTGTAATTATGCTTTGTGGAATAATCGATATCAAGGTTCAAAAAGTAAAACACTTCAGTATAACTATGTTATGAAAATATACCAAGTTTTGAGTTCGTTTCCATTCGAAATTACAACCTATACCTACACGTATTTAACTCACCATCAAATATAGAATTTCGCATTGATGTGTAAATGATTGGTATTGGTATTGGTAGGTTGGATGGTGACAGATGCGCTGCGACCTAATTAGATTTATTGTGCTCCATCTGCTTCTGCTATATCAAGGATTTCTTGTTTATAGCAGCCCCTCGAGATTCAATTCCTTCAGGAGTTTGAGGATTTTGAGGGGATCCAGCTGTGGTATTTCTTCCACAGTCAGCTGGTGTGTTCCCAGTATGTTCAATCTTTTGTGATGTACAGCGTCACACTCCATCAGTATGTGATGGGGTGTTTCTGGTTCTTCCTCACAGAATCTGCAGGTTCAATCCATAATGAACTGTAATTTAGTGGGTTTCTCCTATTATGTTTTATTCAACGACATGACTCTAACATCTTTATGATAAATTGATTGTGATTGGTGACTTGACAACCTTGCTTCGTGAATGGAAATGGAAGATTATCTGAACGATAACTAAGCAGCATAAAAACTGACGTCATCATTTATTCGAAGTATCGCCAAATGGTGGTCATGAAGAATCGTTTGAAATGAGCTCTGAAATCCAACAACTTCAAACAACGCATAGACTCTGTTTACATAAAAAATGCGTAAGAAGTGTTGCAAAAATTAATTTGGGTTCCTCACGACACAGTGGAGTGATTCATCTATGTGTGATAATTTCAAGATGCGTGAAATAGTAGGTGAAATATTAGGTATAGTTTATGCGAAGTCAGTTGAAAAACTTCCGTTTTTAAGGACGATACGAGGATTCGTCGATTTGCTTTGCATTGGAATGGGAATGAATGCAATATTTTCAACTGAGCTTTCCCGGTATGCAGCCTGTGCAGTCAACGTGGACTGGACGAGCGCTGTCATGCTAGAAACAGCGTCTCATTGGTTACTCCAAACTATACTAAATGTTGATTGGTCAGAGTTGCATGGGCGGTCTTCTGTGTGATAAGAATCTTCTAGCCTGCGCTAGGCAGTGCGGTACCAGCTAGGTTGCCTTCATTGGTTCAACTCGAAATTCAGGAAATTATTTTTTCAATCATAGTGGTTTTGTGTTCAGGAGGCCATTTCAGGAAGTCAACGAGGTGAGTGATAGTGATTCGGAGGAAGAGCAAGTGGAGTTCGCCAATAAAGACTTACACGTTCAAACGCAAAGGGTAATTTTGAATATCTATACGCGTCTCAAGGACGAGAATAATGATGCTTCAGCAAACCAACTTGTGAAGAGAATACAGGAATTAACTAAAATAAGCTATACCCATCATATACAGAGTTATTAGAACCAGTTGTTGTAGATCATGAAGTTAAACGAAAAAGAGAGGGACAAAAACTCAAGAAGCTTGATGATGCTGCAGCAGAAGTAATTCTTCGAATTGTATATAGATTTCATAATGAGAATAAGGTGCCAACATTGCCACATTTCAGGGATAAGTTGAATGAAGATGCGGATTATAATTACAAATCATTAAGTACGTTGCGAAATGTTTTACTAGATTGTGGGTTCAGACATAAGGAATTAGACAAGTGAATGGTGATTATGGAATAAAGACCCATCGGCAAGAATATCTACGTAAAATAAGAAAATACCGTGAAGCGAATAGACCTAATCTAGATGAAACGTGGTTCGACACTCATGGGGTTGTTCAATACGGTTGGAGAGACAAAAGAATAATAATCTTTCACGTCGGCAATGAAAATTGATTTGTTGACAATGCATTGTTGTTGTCTGCCAAAAATATCAAGCAATCCTCTGCCGATTATCACGAGAATATGACGGCAGAATTATTTGAGAAATGGGCAGAGCAGCAGCTTATATATACCAAATATTCCAGAGAATCCAGTCATCATGGATAATGCGTCATACCATTCACGCCAACAAACGAAAAAACCGAGCACCAACAGGAAAAGGCTGACGTTATTCAATTTATGGAATAAAAGGCATGGGAATATCTAACAAAAAACTAAAGAAAGAATTACTGGAAATGATCAGGAAACAAAATTTCCCGAAGGAATATGTAGTTGATGAACTCTTTTGAGCACACGGCCATACTGTCTTACGTTTGCCCCCATATTACTGTGTTTTAACCCCATTGAGATGGTCTGGACTGCTATTGAAAGCAAAGTACGTGAAAATATCCATTCACCGCAATTTAGCGAGTCAGTTTTAACCACTATCAGGACAGTAGTTAATGTGATAAACGAGAGTGACATATGGAGGAATTGTGTATCTCATGTATTCAAAAAAGAAAATTAATATTGTATCTTACCACCTACCAATCCAGTGATCTTTAGGGTGAATGGAGATTCAAGAGTCATGAAGAGTCCGATAGTGCCTAGTGATATATCATCCAGTATTTGTGTATAACAGTTACGAAAACTAATAAGCGGTGTATTGTGAATCATATTGTTATTATTATAACCAAAGTGTGAAGTTTGGGAATGTGATATGAACATGTGTAGTGAAATTGTGTGAAGTGTAGGAAACTGATGTGACATGTAAAGTGAAAATGGAACTGTAATATACCATTCATTTGCTGAGACTGTTCATTAAGTTCAATGTTATTAATATTTAATTTTGTTGATTATTTTCTCCGTATGATCTCAAATCAATCAGAACAACGTTCAATTGAGTATGTTACATTGTATAATTTCGAATATACGTGTATATACATAGAGTAACTAGACCAATCAGAATTATTGGCATTTCCATAGTAGGTACTTATCTTATTCATATTGTTACATACATATCTTGAAGTTCCTTATACTACTGATAATTTTCATTAAGTGTAATGTTTTATTTTTATTTTATTTTGTTGAGAATTTTCAATAAGTTCAATGTTTTATTTTTATTTAATTTTGTTGAGAATTTTTATCGGCTTTAATGTTATATTTCAAATATGGGACGATAGGGGTATTGGCGAACACCCACTAAAAATAAGTAACCTGCCATGGGTGCCTCATGAGTGGTCTGAAAACTTACCAATATTCGATAGTCTCATGTTCCAAAATGGATATGGAGGTAATTTTTGAACAATCAAAAATTCATTTAAGAACAGCTTTAATTTGTGTAAGAGAAAAAAAATATCTTACCCGCCGCTGTGACCTGCGGCTTGTCAAAGGATTTGCCGATATGCAGCTGGTTAAAATTTTTTTTGGCTTCTTCAACTGACTTCGTATAAACTATATCACTTATGATATTGAATATGAAGGACATCGCGATTTTATCCGATAGCCAAGCAGCCATCAAAGCGTTGAGCTCTCCTTACATCAACTCGAAGATGGTATGGGAATGCCTAAGCAAATTGAATGAGCTAGGCAACAACAATAAAGTTACCCTCCTCTGGGTGCCAGGGCATATCGGAGTGGAGGGGAATGAACAAGCAGACGCTCTGGCACGACAAGGAGCTTCAACGCCACTGATCGGACCAGAGCCATTCTGCGGCCTTGGAAATTCCTATTTCCAAGGAGAACTTGAGAAGGCGGAAGGAGCCTGGAGAGCCAGACAATGGAGAAGACTTCCAGAACTACGGCAGGCTAAAGATCTCCTTGGAAATTTCAACCGAGAAAGATCTAAGACACTGACAAACCTCAGCAAAGGAAGTCTCAAAGCAATAACGGGATTTCTAACGGGGCATTGCAGACTCAAAGAACACCTAAGGGAGCTAGGCTTACAGGAGGACGGCACCTGCAGATTCTGTGAGGAAGAACCAGAAACACCCCATCACATACTGATGGAGTGTGACGCTGTACATCACAAAAGATTGAACATACTGGGAACACACCAGCTGACTGTGGAAGTAATACCACAGCTAGACCCACTCAAAATCCTCAAATTCCTGAAGGAATTGAATCTCGAGGGGCTGCTATGAACAAGAAATCCTTGATATAGCAGGAGCAGATGGGGCACAATAGATCTAATTGGGTCGCAGCGCATCTGTCACCATCCAACCTACCAATACCAATACCAATACCGATATTGAATATTGTTCTTAAATTGTTCTGAAATTGTTCTTATTCGTCATTTGGATGCCCCCTTATGAGCAACCCTCAGATCCGAACCCACGGTCCGGCAATCTAACGTAAATAGAATACTAAGCGTCTACTACGCGGCTACCTTGCCCACTATGAGAATTCAGGTATTATATCAATGAAGATTTGATGATGATTTACTTCATGACAATATCCTAATGATTTTCATTTCCAGGCGGAAATCCAAGAAAGAACTGGTGAGAGTATCGGCTGCCGTAATGGGAATCGAGTTTTCCTACGCCGCAGAAACTGCTTTCGTGTCTCCCACTCTGCTCAAAATAGGGGTCGAACACAAGCACATGACCCTCGTGTGGGCCCTCTCGCCCTTGATCGGCTTCTTCCTCACGCCCATTTTGGGCTCACTTAGTGACAGATGTCATTCGAACTTCGGCAGGCGGAGACCGTTCATTTTCATTCTGTCACTGGGAGTTTTCCTCGGTAAGTGGATATAGTAATCATGATACCTATCAAGGAAATATTTCAAATTTGAGTGCTGTTGAATGTTTCATGTCGTTTTTCAACTCAAATTGCGACTTTTCCTGAGGGAACCATAGTCTAGCATGGTTGAAGGTATCCTTGGTCAGAGATAATAGTTGCGTTTCATTTGTTCCATTCTGGTAGCAGTGGTGGAAACAGAATGACCTTTTCAAATGAGACAAGAAACTTCATGACCTTGCATGGGAGAATTCACATGAGGTTATATTTATATAAATGGGGCTCCAAATAATTTCAAAACCATGATATTAGAGTTATGAATCGAGAAGATCATTCAACGAATAGCTGGAACAGTGATTGTGGTGATTGGAGAAACTTTTCTGAGTTCGAGAAAATTGATTTTATCTGGGAATAAACATGAATAACCTGTTCTACTTGAAAGAATCATAAACTTGTGAACATCACGATAAAAATGTCTGCAAAATGTCTTCTACTTTCAAGAAGTTTCATTTTTCGTCATTCCAATATAATTTTCTCACAAGTGTCAACAGTCATTCCACGTAATTCCTTGTAGTGAGACGGAATAAAAAGTAGCAATCAGAATCGAAAAAGTTGCTAATGAAACGACACATCAAAGTGATCCGGTGGCATAATCCGATAAATAAAACGCAACTAATAATATATACTAGAGTCTAGCGAGGAAATATTGCGGCCTAACCATGAATGCCTCCATAGTATTTTTTCGTCTAATTACTTCCAAAAATTGAAAATAAAATCAAGATTAGCTAGAGTAGGTACCGAACCCCGGTCTTTTCGCTCGGAGGAAGGAACACTACTCCAATGACCATCACGCTTTTGGCGAGACAATATACAAAACAATTTTATACGTTCTTGACTTGCCACCGTGGCAATAGTTCCCGTATAGTGGTGCTATGGCTAGGCTCTAATATAGAATCTTATATGCGCCTCAAAACAGCTGACAACAGAATAACAAGCTGCAATATGATGGGTTACTGCTGGATGTTCGCAGTAGATTGGCTTCTGTGTACTAAGAGTATGTGAGTTGTTCGTCTCAGATGAAACATCTTATTCTGGATGATTTTATGGACAACAGAGCTGAAATAGGTCTGAATTCTCCTACGCAGCACTCTGCTCAAAATAGAGGTCGAACACCAGCACATGACCCTCGTGTGGGCGCTCTCGCCCTTGATAGGCTTCTTCCTCACTCCCATTTTGGGCTCACTTAGTGACAGATGTCATTCCAGCTTCAGGATGCGGAAAACGTTTATTTTCATTCTGTCACTGGGAATTTTGCTTGATAAGTGGAGATATCAAGAGAGTATTCACTGTCTGTAGGTTAATCGTGGAGGTGGTAAATTCAATATTTCAGATTTTTTTAGATTTTTGCTCCTCGTTCCTATAATATGAGAATATAATTATTTCAGAATACGTGTCGTATGTTGAATGTTACTGCGTTCAAATAATCAGAGAGCCCAGAACAAAACTTCACCAGCTTGTCAGTGACAATGTGTATTGAAATAAGTGAAAATACTCAGATATCAATTTTGAATAAAATCGGATTACAAAACTCGTTCGCCATATTGGATCCGCTATCTTGAATTTTCGATTTAAAAAATAAATCACGACCGATTCTCGTACCTACCGAATACGCACAAAAATTTTCATAAGTATCGGTCAAGTCGTTTCGGAGGAGTTTGGCCACTAACACCGTGACAAGTCAGGTTAGGTTAGGTTAGGTTCTGAACGGGCCGGTCCAACCCGCGCGGGCTTAGGCCTGACCCGATTCGCACCGCGGGTCGGGCCGCCACGGGCCTGAAGAAGTGCGGGGCAGGCCGATTCATAAAAATGAGCTCGGCGGACCGTGAGGGCCCCGCGGACGTGCGGGTTCCGCGGACCGTGAGGGTCCCGCGGGCCCTATGGATCGCGGGAGTGTTGTGGGTTGTGAGTCTTCATCTCCTAGTAACAGAATCCCACGTTCGAAATGACGTGATACTCTGAGCAATCCAGACGCCCATGCGTTTGTAAAATGAACTCGGTTTTCTTGGGATCCTCAAATCAGTCGAATCCCAATAGCCTGTGACTGTGGTCATGAATAATGAGTCTTTAGTTGATTTTATTTATTTTGATGAGAGCTTGAGAGCAATATATTTATACAAATCGCATTCGTTTTTATTGTCCCCATATTGCCGAATGTCGAGTAACTGCCTTAGGAAAATATTACAATCGAATAATCTAGAGGTAATTATCTTCCAATTGATAAATCACATAAAGATATAGCATTCAATCATTCAATTATTAACACTTCAAAAACATCAGCATATCATTGATATCGAAAATTCAGGGTTGGATTTTTTTCCTTAGGTCAAAATATATGTATCTTTCCATAAGTGGGTTACGCGGGCTAAGTGAGCCACGCTGGCCCAGTGAGCCATGTGGACCGAGTGAGCCACGCATATCAGATATCAGTTCAAGAATGTTCTAATAACTTCTGTGAGTTCAAGCAGCAGTTTACGAAAACAGCTCATCAAAAAAAGAAAAAAAATTAGGGTCTAGTTGAGAAGATACTTGAACGCCCTTCAAAATGATGTGCATCTTGACCTCCCTCTTCATATGAGGTTCTAAGGGTAACATCTACCCCCTTCCCCTAGGGGGTTGAACTAACAGGGCTAAACATATGCTTGTCTATGTCTTCCTCAGGAATGGAACATGTGTTCTCGATTTTTCATGTCATATACTTAAAGGAAGATATAATCGGGTGGAAAATTTTCTTGACACGTCATTTTTCGTAAACAGCTCGACAGAAAATAATTGACTAGGGTACCCTTGGAAAGAGAACTAAACGCCTTTCGAAATGATGTGCTACTTGACCCCCCTCCTCCTGTGAGATTCAAGGGGGGTCGGACCAAGAGTGCTGTTTTTTCGATTTCTCATATTATTCACTGCAAGGAAGATATTGGGGGTGAGAATTTTTCAAAATGCCACCCTGTATGCTCTGTTCTTGATAGTCTTTTGGTGATTTGATCGGTAATTCAGGTGTTTTTGTTTTGTATATCTCGTAGCGCACAAAAAAAACCTTGGTCTTTGTACATACGATATATACAGTCTGTCCGAGATAAGGTTGAACAGCATGGGGATCTCGAAAACAGTAGGAGATACGAAGTCGGTTATATGGGGAAAAAGTTGCGCATTCGGAGGCTCATATCAAGAGCCTTCGAAAATTTTCAAATTCATCTTAAGTTTTTGAGTTATGTCGAAAAAAGTTAATTTTTGGAATATCTTTTTATCTTCTCCGTTATTATCAGAGAAACTTTTTCACAACAACTTTTGATGACGTTCAACGTGGTGATACCAATTTTTTTATGCGACGTTTCATATTCGTAGAACCATCATCAACTTTTGTTTTTTGAATACGGTCCTGATAATTTTTTCACAGATTCCGAAAGGTTTTTTCATTCTGAATTCAACCATGTATTATACAAGGTGGATCATTTGTGTTTTGACCTATTTTCAACCATCATCAATTTTTTTTCGAAATTCCAAGGGAAAAATGCCATCAGTTCCACTTATTTTGAAGAAAAATTAGTCAACACACTAATACCTCATCAACTGGTTTCAATCAACAAACCATTTCATTTTGCGGAAACAAAAATTCCATCCATACAGATTCCAAATATGTCAAGCGCTAAAACCAGGCAATGACGAAAGGCGCAGGACATTCTGTGAGTGGTATACCAGGAAATGTCAAAATTTTGCAAATTTCCCGCGAACAATCATCTGGACTGATGAAAGCATGGTCACTAATCATGGTATCTTCGACAGAAAAAATACACGTTATTGTTCACGAGAAAATGAACATTTATACATTACAGCGAGACCCACAATATGTGGGTTACACAAATTATTGGTCCTTTTATTCACCATGAAACACAGACTTGCTAACGTTATAGAAATTTGCTTGAGAATAATCTTGAGGAAGCTCTGGATGATTTACCGATTGCGGATGTTCACAACTGATGGTTTCAACAAGATGGTGCTGGTACATAATTCCAGAGAAGTTCGTGCGTTTTTATCCAGAAAAATGGATTGGTACTCATTTTGCAGTCACTTGGCCGGCGCGGTCACCTGATTTGACACAGCTGGATTTTTTTTAGGGGATATATCGAAAACTCTGTACACGCAAATAGATTTGATGATGAAGAAGAACTAAGGGACAGTGTCATCGAAGCATTCAATAGACTAACCCCAGAAATGCTTAGTATTGTTTTAGAAGCAACTGTGAGAAGAGGATATATTTGTTCAGAGAATAATGGTTATCATTTTGAACATTTGTTATGAATGTTTCTGAACGTATTGTCAATGTTAAGTTGTTAAAGTAATTCGTGTAAGAATACATCAACAATGTCAAGCGCTGCATTGAATAATGTAGTGAAATATGTTTTATTCACTTTTCAGTATTGCATAACTAATCCATCAATGTTTGACACTGAATGATCAGAAATAAATGGAACTGATGGACTTTTCCTTTGGAAGTTCGAAAAAACATTGATGATGGATAGAAATAGGACAGTATTCAAAAAACAAAAGTTGATGATGGTTCTACGGATACGAAACGTCGCATAAAACCACCTTAAACGTCATCAAAAGTTGCTATGAAAAAGTATTCTCAGTGTTTCTGTATCTCTAATAATAACGGAAAAAAACATAGATATTACAAAAATTCACTTTTTTCGATATAACTGAAAAACTAAAAAAAAATTTGGAAATTTTCGAAGGCTGTTGGTATGAGCCTCCGAATGCGCAACTTTTTCCCCATTTAACCGACTTCGTATCTCCTACCATTTTCGAGATCCCCATGCTGTTCAACTTCATCTTGGACAGACTGTATATTTGTTTTCGGTAAGTGACAGATATCTTTCGAG